TTTATATGTTACACATAATAGGCTACATATCTTGGAGTGGCTGAGCTCAGTTATTTTATAGTGGTTGTTTGGCCTATGATGCTCTCATGCTGCTGATTTACATTTTAAAGAAGAAGTGTCATTATTGTTTAAGTGTTGTTCAGCTGAACTGGTTTCATGGCAACCATGGTTGTTTCCTTTGATTTCCAAGGATCAAGTACTCCTACACAGGCTCTGATGGGAAACTCAACAATGGCCATTCTTGGCAATCAGAGGCATTCAGCTGAGCATCAGAGAAATACTTCATAATGCCATTTAGAATACCTTAATAGCTGATCTCCTGGTTTGTCTTTATTGTATACTGATAGTCACCTGTTGCTAAGCACACTACAAATCATTTCCTATAAGTAGAGATGGCCTCCTTGTAATTTCAATATTTTTAAATTCCTAATTATCTGTTTCTTAGCTCGCTGCTGCATATGAAATATATTCAGCTGTGTAAAGACCAGGTTGTATGCATTTATGCAGTATATAACAGTCAGTCAACATCAGTGGCTCCCATTTCTCATACAGTAGACTGAGTAGAGTCTATAAACTGCTGTCGGATTATCTGCTGGTTTTGCAAGGAAGTTTATTATTGTAGCTCTCTTCTGTGCTGAGCGTGGTTTATTGTCACAGTGACTGGGTCACAGCCAAGAAGGAACATATCATCTGTGTTATGTGACTACTCCGTTCCTCGAAATGTTAACTTTTCCTCTTTTTTATTTGTCCATAACCCTCACTAGGAATCCTGATTGTCCAAGGGGCTGTATTGGTTTTTAAGTGGAATAAGAAGGAGGATAAGAAGCAGGGAACTTGAATGCCCTTTTGAATAAGAATTCAATTTATTTTTGTATTAGATTGCTTACATTGATTGAGACAACAGTATGATGACTTACCTTTTTATGTTATTTTCTTAGTGTGTTGTCTTTGACTCAAATATACTGTAGGGCCAGTATAGGTAAAGAAAACTCAATTGAGAAGCCAGCGGTGAAGGGTTAATATTTGAGGAGAAAACCAGAGATTAAAGTTGTAAATGAACGCTAACAAAAAAAGACATTCTATCTGATTAATGAAGTAAATGTATGCAACATAACTTATCCTACCATAAAACACAGGTATAAAACACAAGTCCTAGTATGTACCACATTCATCAACGTTAAACCAGGCTTGGCCTTTTCATGCACTCCGCAGTTTGTAGCCTCCGGGGGTTCAATGCTTTTTGACCTTGAAGGACTCAGGAGAACAGTTTAAGATAACACCTGCTTTAAGTTGAATACTTAGTGGGATGCTTGCTTCAATGATGTTTGCGTTAACATAATGTTTTACTTTCTTTACACACACACATATTCATTATCAATCATCAGTTTTTTCTCTGTCTTGTTTGTTTCTGCCCCCTCCAAGAAACAGGTGAAAGGGAAATGTGTAAACCATTGTTGGCGCATGGTGGTCTTTAAAATCAGGAGTTTCGGGGGACTGTGCTGAAAGAATTGCACTTGAATATTAACAAACTGTCTGTGATGTTTGCATATCAAACTTACATTCTACTTCAAGTGGAGAAAGGAAAGAGAGATGGAGGTGGAAAAGCTAAGCAGAGTGTGTGAAAGGCAAGTGCACGGAGATTAGGGATTGAGGGGTTTCTGGGACGGGGAGATAAGGTACTGCAGAAGTACTTCCTCTGGATCAAGACTGCCTTATCTGCAATTCTACATGCTAATGCTGCTAAGACAAAAATAATGAGAAATGTGTGTTTTTGTTGACATCTCTTTCTGTTTCCTTGCTATTCTAACTCATTTCTGGCACTGGGGCTGAACTGAGTTTTACTCTAGAAAGAACTCTATGACATGTTTCCCTTCTGGTGATTAAACATATGCCTCTTCTATCTACCTTTCATCGATTCTGCTACCGCTTTGCACGAGTCAGGAAGAAGCCACTTGGTAGATGTTGGACTGGGAATACGGTTGAAGTTGCTCACTTGGCTTTTCCTTTGATCAATAGGCATTGGCCACTTACTTATCTATCTATTACATGAAATGAACCATATTCACACTTCTTTTTTAATTGGACCGTAGCAGTTGCAGCAGTTAGCAGTTTAGTGTAAGATGTTTTCCAATTAAAATTAGATATGTATTGCAGAACAATGGAAAAAGGCCTGTTTGTTGTCAGTAGTGAGGTTTTATCAGGTTTTCCCAGCCAAAATGATTCCACATCTTTGTTTGAAATGGGGAAAGGCCAGAACCTCGTTCATTTACAAAGAGTACTAATGATGGTGGAGATTGAAAAAGTCTTGAAATACGATTTTTTTCTCAGATTTCCCCACCATGTGAAATGGAATAAAAAGGCAAATAATACAACGCAGACTGAGAAGGACAATTGGACACGTTTGCATCTTTAATTAGATTTCCGGTGAAATGTTGTGGGATTTTTTGCTGAAGAAGAAAATATCAAAGCTCTCTCAAACTCCTGAGTCAGAGTGCTCTTCACATCACGGTCAGTTCAGCCCAAGAAATATAACAGAAAAGGTATTACCATTAATATCTTTATAGACAGTTTCTATGGCATGAGAAAGACATTTTCTGACTTGACTGAATCCATATAATCGCTGCTGGATTTTGAATTGAAAGTATACCATGGAGTTATGTTGAGAAAACCGAAAACCGTTCAGCAGCAGGCTTAATGCTTCTGCTGGAATGAACACGGCTCAATGAAATATGACATGTGTTTGGCCTTTCAATCTAGAGTGAAAACATGTTCTGCGTGACTCAGGCTGAGAGAGCAATTGTCTGTGCCAGACAAACTGTAGGCTAGCACTGCAATGTCAGAGAGAGGGCACACACAAATAAAAGCAGAGTTTTGTTAGAAGAGAGCACTCCAAATATGAACAAATCCACACAAATAAGGACAAATGGAAATGTGTTTGCCATACACAGATCAAGAGTATCTGGGTTTGTGAGTTTGTTTGTATATTTATGTGTGTTATGAAGGGCTTGGGTCAATCTATTAAATAACAAAAATATTATTCCTCATGCACTCTGTAAACGTTCTGCACGCCAATGAATTATGCAGAGACTCAATGACTGGTTTAAAATCCTACTTAGCAAGGGTTGCTCTGCAGCGAGGTTTTCACTGACATTCAGAGGCCGATGTCATTACAGGACTCCGCTGTGATTGGCTGAGCAGTGAGCCGTTGCGTGACTTAGCAATGTCTCCTTGGAACGCTGCCACATTTGGTAAAGTTATGGCCGAAATGCAGCAGCATGTCGTTAGAAACAGAAAAAAAAACTGGGATTGCAGAACTCCATAAGTAGAAAAGCTCAATGGACTTTTAAGCAGATCTGCCTTCATAAGGGCCTTCACAGAAACATGTCAACCTGAGAAATCAAATAAACTGAGTGTTGAGATTTTCTGTGCTTTTAGAGTGTCACTGTCCCCGTTTCAATGGTGAAGCACATGTACAGTATCTTGGCTTTGCTAAAGATAGTTTGACCTCGTGATTTAGTACTGCTTAACTATATACTATAGAGACTATGAGATACTTTATATCCCTTCTATAAGTCAAGCCCCAAGTCCTTTGTAACTTGCCATTAAACAAACTTGATAGTAGGCCTGGTAATTGTCATAAGCTGAAACTGAGATACATTTGATGACATCAACAGGGTTATTTTGGCCTGAGTCCCCCACAGACAAGCATACAGATAATGTGTTCACAGACTGAGTTCTTCACGATGGGTAAACTGTCTTTTTATTGGTACAATCTGTGGACCCCTTTCACATATCCCGATGTATTGATTTCTTAAATGTCTTTTTGTCCCAGCCCCAGTGTTTCTGTTTGTGTGTGTATAAGCAATGTTTTCAGATTTCGACTTAGTGGCTGCTCTCCACATTTCGCCATCTTTCACGTGAGACCGCTCTGTTCACTCAGGTGGTGTGCTGTCACACACACACACACACACACACACACACACACACACACACACACACACACACACACACACACACACACACACACACACACACACACTCTGTGCATATTCCTGGCCTTTTTACCAGCCGACACCTGGCAGGGGCGGCAGGGGGCTGTTAACAGCTTAAACCCCTGGCAGATCAGTTTAATTCAGAGAACTCCGGTCCTCAGACTGGATCTCAGCCCAGTGATATACGAGGTGGCGGAGACTCGTTTGCCTGCCATTAAGATATGCCAAGAGTGTTTGCAGATAGTGAGAGCAGCTGGCTCGGCTGACAGGGGCCGACTAAGTGGCTCGGACCTTCTGCAGAAGAGTAGCAGGGATCAATAGGGCGACTCCTCCACTGCAGTGGCAGGAGCTCTTGGATGGCTGTTACATCCCTCTTGACATCATGAACCATGCTAGACTGTATTTGCGTATGTGTGTGACAGGAAGAGAGAGAAATGGCAAGTGAAGGTGATGAACATTTTTGCTTTAACAGAGGAGCAGAAAGAGAAATACACACAACATCTTCATGTTTTTTTTACATGGAAAATACTCCCAACCACACTCTCACAAAATCAGCACTTTTTTTTCTACTTTTTTTTTTTTTTAACCAAAACATGAAGCTCAATTCCTCAAACTGAAGATACATTTCCAGAGAGGTAATACATTCATTCCAAGCAATGGTGATGACGATTACAATATCTTGATAGAATGGACCAACAGATGAAGTACTTCATGGCTAAAACCTGAGTTATTCCAAAGTATTTCCATATGAAACTGCACAACAATGCACATCAAAAATAAATGATGCATCATTATTCTCATATAGAGTATTATTTGCATGACTAAAGCTATGCTAATATATTCATGTGGTATATACACACATCGACACATGGATTATTTATGTATATGTATGTCTCGGGGTCTGAGAGGTCCAGTCTAATCACAGAACCACATTATGGCAGAATGAGATTTTGCTGGAGCCCATAAGCCTCAGAAAATGTCTTTTTGCGATAGAGTGGTGACTAAAATGAGCTTTTTTTACTAAGACTTGGACAGCCCAGTTTTCTCTGATCTTTCCTCATTTTTTTTCTTTTGTGTATTTTTTCGGCCCTTTTTGTTAGTCTTTGATCCTTACTCTGAAAATGAGGAGGAGCTGAGGCACAGCATAATTGATTTTGTCTTCAGCCTCCTCAATCCTGCCTGCCTTCACATCCTCCTCTTCTCCCAGTCCTCTCCAGGATGAAAGCAGGTATGAGTGTTTAAATGTGTCGGGTCGAGCGCTATAGTTGAGCAAATGTTCAGTCATTGGATCGCTTTTGGACGGGTTCCTGGGGGGCTCCGCTGCGCCCATTATCCAGGTTTCTTCGTCACAAAAATTCCTCATAGTCCAAGAGTTTGGAGTGCTGGCGGGTCTTCCAGAGCCGGTAGAGGCGGAAGTCGAAGTACAGCTCAATCAGCTCTTTGCCTTGATTGGTAAACGAGACAGGAACATAATTATTCAACCATTAAGAGAGCAGAATATCACTTTTTTGTTTTACCATTTTCCATATAATTTCACTAAGACCTCAAAGTCCTTGTCATGGATTTTCTTGGTCAACCTATTTTAAAATTAGTTGTGTTTTCTAATCCTGATAAGTTGGTTATTTTATAATGGTTTGGGTTCAAAGTTTGCACTGAAAACCCATGAGAGAAAGGATCATTTGCATTCATGTAAATTGTTGTTGCTGAATCCAAATACTCCAATCGTTTTTTACAAGACCAAGAGTATTTTTAAATTGATATCTCGCATATTTCTTTACTTTATCTCAACAACATTTGAATTATGACTAGTATTAAAATAGTCCTATCATGTCTTGAAATGATTTTGTCCTGCACACAAAATGGTGTCCCACAGATCTTGCTAAATGTAGCTTTAGAATGGAAAAAACAACAACCATGATATTTTGACTATACTGTTAGGAGGATCATTTATTATTTTATCATATTTGTCTCTAACCTTAAGACATTGGGATAGTATTCATTGCAGATGGGTTACAACATTTAAGATGTTAATTAATTACTACGTTTCTGAAAATATCCTATAGGATTATGAAAGGTCAAAAAATCCATGACATAAACTTGGATGTCCGGAACTGACCCTTTCCCTAATCTAAACTAAGATCAGTGCGTGCCTAACTAACTATAACCATACAAACATGTATCATGCTTCAGTTGCTATGGACAGCTAGCCTTTGCAAATACATACAATATCAACACTTTGCAACTGTCCAGATATATTAAAGAGCATTTCTTAACATTGATAAGAAACAAAACTCTGGTGGCAATAAGGTTGGTGGTCGTCGTTGTGAATAACTGAGTTTGAAGTCTATGACTTGGATCTTTTGCATTTTCAAACGTCTTATCAAAGCATGTTCATGTTTTTGAAAAATGGAGAAGCTGTTTGAGTAAATTCCTCCTCTACATGTTAATGATAGACAGCAATTTGTCTTTCATACACGCATCATGTGTGTATTCGTTTGAGAAATCACAATGCACGTGCGGGTCGGTTTGATGTGTGTGTCGGGGTGTTTTGTTCATACCCACCCTGAGCAGACAGCTCCAGCGGCGACCCGAACTCGACAGAATAAGGCCTCATCAGATTCTTCAGTTTCTGAAACAGCTGTTGGGACGAGATAAGGAAGCAAACAGCAATTAATCCCACTGGGAAGCCTGCATCTTCATACACAACACACACTCAGACACAAACATAACAACACACTCAAGAACGGCTATGAATCCTGCTCATTACCGCCAAAGAGACGTGCACATTCTCGAGCAGGTAACAAGGAGGTATCAACTGCAAAAGCATAACCGCTGTGCAGAATTCTGATTCTGCTTTTCCGTGAAACAGCAGAGCTTCTAAAAGGTTACAGAAGCACCTCATTATCCTATTCATGTTTAGGAAGAAATTAAACGAAAATATTCAAATCAAAGCTTGAACTTATCTGTAAATTAGAGGGATTTGCTGGCTGATAAGTGTTTTTTCCTATACCACAATATTAAATGCAGCATTTAAAAAATGAATGGAGGACACTGACTGCTTCCTGCTATTCAGATGTGAGAATTTGTAGATTTTTCTCAGTGTAGATGAAATATTCTGGAACTGTTGGAACAAGCATATAAAGACTTTGATGGCAATATAATATGTTTTCCTTATTCAGTCAAATAAATCAATTGCAGCCCTAATTACATAATGACAGTTTGATTGGAGCATTACAGTGATTTGGGGTTTCTCAGTAATCTATTCTGCAGTTTCTCACAGACACGTGCACATTAAAAATTGAAGCTGACTGATTTCTTGCTCCAATTTGTTCAAGTTGAATACCCCTCTGTCAAAGAGATCAAAGGGCCACATGCGCTTTTCTTCTTCACTTTGTGATGTCAGAATGGAGGTGGCGATGAAAAGAGCAGCTTTCATTCCTCCGTGTTTGCAGTCCTTTGAAAAAGTTAAAAGAAGATGGCTTCATGCCAGATGTGGCGGAGAGAATGTTTGGGGAGACGCAGGCGGTGTGCCGAGTCTAGTGCAGAGAGCTGGAGACAAAAAACAAATATCCCATGCACTTCGAGGGGGGGGGGACGCCGCTTGACGCTGCAGTGCATTGCCGTGACCATTGGAGACTTGGCGATAGAGTGAGGATTACTTCCTGCATGGAGTGTAATGCGCTGGAAATGATATATTGTGAATACCCATTTGATAGATAGATATTTCTTACATTTGTTGCTGTTTTTTAGTGTTATGTTTGCTTTTCATGCAAGAAATGTTGTTGTGCTTGGACCCTATTAATGTTGGGTTGTTTCCTTTCTGTCCTCTGAGGCTATTGTTGCCAAGACTGAGGCAGAATTTGTGCTGACGAAACAACATGCTTAAACAACTCTGAATGAGAAAAGTAGGTCAGACTGCCTGGCTGACCTGGTCCCCTGCTGCTCTGCTGCTCCAGCCTATATGTTTTCATCCTCAATGCTGTGTCTCAAAACTGACAAACCCTAAGTGCTGTGGTGTTAGAAACTGAAAAGCAGCCTGCTCCACATTTCACAGAGTTATAACTGTGGTTTTCTTTTTTACTACAGAGCAGAAGCATTTCACCCCTCCCCTAATATCAGCAAATTGGAGCTCCTTTGAATGTTCAGAACTGTGGCAAATGTTCATTTCTTAGATTAAATGACATTCATATCAATGAAAGAACCCCAGAACAAGACAATATTATATTGGAGATGATTATTATTACAAAATCAGCTCTTGCTGTAATGAACAGGCTAGACCCATTTGGTATTTGCTGAGTCATTTGTATTAATCATGAATAAACTAATATGTTTTCAAACAGGGAGGGGGTAGTTTAATTTACTTCTCTATTAAAGTCAGCCCAGACTATTATGCCTTCATGTCTGTATTAACAGCATAAGCTTAAATACATATCAATTGTTATAGCCAATCAAGAAGCACAACTGCAGATACAGTGACATGCAGCATGTGAATACACAGCGAGTGAGTGTGTGTGAAATTGCAGTATGTTACTTTAGACCTCCTCTCAAGCAGCTTGAGCACATCATGTGTGTTTAAGACAACCTCTTAGTTATTATTTAAGTCATGTACAGCGACGTGGTGTTTGCAAGCCATTGGTTTATGCTGTCTGTAGTTCATCATTTGGCATTTGATCCTTCCTGTTTCAAAATGTATAAAACGGGGACCCAATCTGACTCCATTTATGCTTTGGCAGACAGAGAGGCTGGGAGTGATGTTCTCTGTTGATGATGGGCTTTTCTATGGCTGGTTATATAATTAAGAAAGTAAAGAAAATACTAAATGTTAGAGAAAAACGATATATGACTAAAAGATATTTGAGAAGTTTAAAGACTTTCTTGGAGTTTGAATGCTGTTTTAGCACATCAAATGAACTGTGTACTAAAGTGACCACACTTTTCCCCATATAGTGTATAATGGAGAACACGTTTAAAAACACTTGTTATAGGGTCTCTCGTAAAATCACTTTGTAATTGTATGAGTGTACTCTAGGGAGGTATAAACAAATACTCATTAACTGTAGTTTAGATGACATTTAGCCTCCAGCGTGAGAAAATATCACTTTGAGATCTTGGGACCAAGCTTTGAGTGAAATATGAATCCCACCAATATTGTTGTTGTTTGTCTGCAGGGGGGGAGATGTCACTCTGCACACTGTACTGCAGACTTCCAGTCTCTCCATCTACCCCAGAGAGACCCACTTTATATAACAAAGTATTTTGGCAGACATGACTGGAACAGACAGCTAGGTCAGACAAACCCCGCTGGCTATTTCGTTTCTCTGTGTGTCTGCCAGTTTGTTTGTCTGCTTTGATTTCGATTTTTTGGGTTGTGTCTTATTGTTTGTTCCTGTCAGGTAGAGAGAGGTGCATCATTACTCAGCCTGTGTGCTTCACCCAGTAACATCACACAGAGTGAGGTAATAGTCCCACATGTTGAGGAAGAAAGAGCTAGAAACGGAGGCAGCCGGGATGAACGTGTGGTGATTATCAGACTAACGCGACGCTATGAAAATAAATATGAAAGCACAGGGCAGCAAACAGAAAAACTAGCGGGGGAGAACAAAGCGAGGCACGAGCGAGCACAAGGAAGCGCTCACTCTAATGATAGGAGACAGGGAAGAAAACGTCTTTACACCTCGGGCAGCCTAATTTATTAAATCAGTTTGCGTGGCACATAAATCTGACGTTTTGAACACGTAAATCAACAGAGACCTTGTTATGAATGAATTGCCAGATCTACTCTACCTGGGCCACGGTGTGTACAGGAAGGAAGTAATGAATTGTTGGGAATCAGATTTCACCGCTGTTGAACATTGTCTGCCTGTATCCTCCAGAGAAACTGTGTTTACATTCTTTCATTCAATGTGGGATAAAGGTGTCTCACTAAATATGTGATTACTTTACAAAGTCATTTTGTTTACCACATTCCAGCAATGTGATAAAAGTGAAGACAATTGGTAGTGCAACTGGCTTGCTGCATGTGCATTACTGAGAAATAATTAAATGAGAAACCACAATGGCCTTCATTTAGCTTTCTTTGAACAAACACAAACAGCCTTAGCCGACCTTAGTACTTGCGGGCTTTATGTAATATCTACATAGACCTGCCATGTTGTTATAGTTTCGATGCGCTATGCATTAGCTTCAGAAGATAACTGCTATGCCACTTGCAAAGCTACTGCAACTTAAACACTGGAGCAAAACCAGTCCATAGCTGACATATGTGTTAATTTTTAAATGACATTAGTATCTTCTGTGAAATACTATTTGCTTGAGTGTAGCGATTTATCATAATTGTAAGATTACAGTGTTATTTGGACAAAATTAATGTCCATATAAATATAGCTTTTGGACTTTTTGTTTGTCAAAATCTGGTTGCCCTTTTCATAAATGTAATGACTCTTTTTATACTATTACTGACTTTTATATATATTCGTTTTAGGGAATTGATTTGACCACTAAAATTGTGAACTCAAAATGGTATTATGTCGACACCAAATGTCAACATCTTTTCTGTAAACTAAACGTCCTCTGGCCTGAGATGTAATTAGGGTAAAGTAGAGCTTCTGTGTTATAGGTTGTGAGAGTGTGTGTGATGGTGTGTCTTCTTGCGTCAGCGTCTGCTTACCTTCTCTCCATTGGGGTTGCCCAGGACGTAGCATCCCATTATGTGGATGAGGTTGGGTTCTGGATTGACTTTACTCATGAATCGACTAAGCCTCCTCCAGAATCTGAACAAAAACAAAGACTTCAGTTATCACTCTTACCAACAGTTCCCATGGAATTAAATGCGAAAAATGACCTTTAAAAAATGATTAGCTTGTGTCAAAGCACATCGTTGGTGATTAACCACTTGATTTTGCAAAGAACAGGAGGTTGTGTTTCATATCTCTAAACCATCAACTATTCAAAGATGCCCCCCCCCCAGGAGAGATGCTCTGAAAGATTCTCAATTGTTCATGAATGACAAACAATTGAAGGTTGAATCATCCCAGTGGAACGTCTTCGATTTAAGTCAAGTGGAAGAGCAGAAATATTATTTATATTCTGAAAATGGAGAAAAGAGCATTTACATAAGTAATTTGTATCAGGGTCTTCAATCATTTGAATGCCTACAATGAGAGACTTCTTTAGGAGTGAGACAAAATACATTTTTATATGATGGAGCCCTTTTTGGGATATTTGGTGGATTAGGACTCAATGAGAGGGCAGCTAAGGTATCTTAATGATAAATACCTCCCTACATGTTCTTACTCTGGCTTCTTGAGGTATGGGTCACTACTGCAGATAACTTGTTTTAATCTCTTATACTGTATGCATTCTCTCTCTCATGCCAACCACCTGCATGTCGTCTTCACCATATCTATAAACCACATTCTTGCCTTTTCTTTTGTCTGGCACCTCTACCTTCAGATCGCATACTTCTCCAGATATACCCAGCATCTCTCCTTTGCAAATGTCCAAACCATCTCAATCTGGCCTCTCACTTTGTCTCCAAACCGTCTAACCTGATCCGTCCCTCTAATATACTCGATCTTAATCCTGTCAGTCTGTCACAAGTTAGACACTTCTATTATTGTTTGTTTGGTGGCTCATCTAAACTCTCCTGTCATTTCAGATCCCGCCTTCCTCCAGGCCCTTGTAATCAGCTCACTTCCCTCACCTGGTCTCCCCAGCCCTTCCCCTCACCTGTTACTCATTCCCTCATCACTCCACAGTATTTATACCACCTCACTATCACTTGTCCTTTGCCAGATTGTCTTGTTGTTCCCGCCAAGATCTCCAGTGAGTTCTCTAGCCTAGATTTTTGTCCTGCCCGGTTTTTGATCCCTGCCTGCCTGTTTACGGATCTCGAGTTCCTGCCTGCTCCCTGTCTGGTTTTGGTTGCCTGTCTGACGGATTTCCTGGTTTTGACCCTGCCTGTCCCTGACCTGAATAAACTGAACATTGCTATACACTGGTTGTATCTGAGTCGTGCTATTGGGTTCTGATCTGTACCTGTACAATCTGGCCAACATCAACCCAGCCGACTCAGCGACAGAACCGCCGACGCAAGATATCATGCCATGAGCAGCAGCCGCCACGAGCAGCAGCTTACCTTCATGGCTGAAGCTATGCAGGAGATGGCTGCTCGTCACGAACGGACCTTTGTGAATCTCCGTGATCATCTTCAGAACCTTCCTGCTACGGTCCAAAGTCCGGAACTAACTCTAGCTTCCGCTGTTCGAATCCAGAATCCTCCGGCATCAGATGCACGCCTGCCTCCTCCGGAACGCTACTCTGGAGCCCCAGGTTCGTGCAGACCATTCCTGGTCCAATGTTCCCTCGCCTTCGAGCTTCAGCCTTCCGCCTTCCCAACAGAAAGATCCCGGGTGTCGTATATTGTCTCTCTTCTCACGGGCAAAGCTAAAGACTGGGGTACCGCCGAATGGGAGAGACAATCCTCTGCCTGCTCGTCTGTAAGCTTATTCTCCGATGAACTCCGTAACGTTTTTGATCACGCTACACCCGGAAGAGAGGTTCAGGGTATATGCAGGAATCCTGAAGTCAAATGTAATACCTTTTAAGACCTTTTTTAAGACCCTTTCCATACATTTTAAGACCTCATCGCAACTTTGAGTTCTAACCGGTTACATTGGCAACACACTTTACTATATTGATTGTAAGATAGCAAAACTAAAGAGAGTGCAGACAGACTACTGAAGCCTCCTTTCCACATGAACTTTAACCTCTCTGTGAAGGTCAGGTTTAATGCAGTATGAGGAGGCTTCAGTAGTCTGTCTGCACTCTCTTTAGTTTTGCTATCTTACANGTTATATGGACACAAAAACATATGGACCCTACTGTAGAATTAAAAAAAGGTTCATCATCTCCTTGGACCCAATCTATACATACCGTAATTAATCCTCTCTTAATAAGAGTGACAAGACTCCCCTCATACTGGGGTGAACTGTTGAACCCTACACACGGGTTTTAGAGATAGGCCCTGCCTTTTCGGGTTTGTATGGGTGCGGGAAAAAAATTTTCTGGGTGCGCGGAAAGTAGCCTTTCACGGATGAAGGCTATAATCGCCATAGAAGATTTGGCAACTCCATTATAAAAGACCCACCGAGTTTTAACAGTTCTTACCGTATAGATCCCCCCTCCCCCATAAGTGCTTCTTGTAGCGGTGAATAAATGGCGTATGTTTGATGGGTTCATGACCCGTTTAAACTCAATAGGAGAGTACCTTAATACCTACGTATGTACGATAGAATTGAAATGTCCAGAAGGAAATTATATTGGTACCTTAATATATTTGATTGACGAAAAAAAATAAGTATCGGGTGGTCAACGATTGTCGACCTCTCTCATGCTCTCCTTTTCTTGACAATAGGTCAGGTCAAATTGTCTCTATATAGAGTGACCCTCTGGTCGCTTTACCAATTCTGTTCGAAATTAAAAAAAATAATGGATGGAGAAGAAAAGACAACCCATACCGGTTCAATCATATACAACCAACTATGACTATTGGGTACGGTAGGCTATAAATTGTACAAAGAAAATAAAAGTCCCCTACACATTTGCGAGCGAACGAGGAAGACGATTTGGTTCCCCGCAGAACATCATTCACCAACCCCTGGAAGACTGCAGGTGCATTGGTGAGTCCAAAAGGCATGACTAAATACTCATAATGTCCACTAGGAGTGTTAAATCCCGTCTTCCACTCGTCCCCCTCCCTGATTCTCACCAAATGGTACGCGTTACGTAGATCCAGCTTGGTAAAAATAGTAGCGCCTTGTAACAGTTCAAATGCAGAGGAAACAAGTGGAAGGGGGTACCTGTTCTTGACAGTGATGTTATTGAGTCCTCTGTAGTCAATGCATGGGCGCAGAGTCTTATCCTTCTTACCCACAAAGAAAAAACCTGCAACAGCAGGAGATGATGAAGGCCGGATAAGCCCTGCATCCAAAGAGTCATTGATATACTTCTCCATTGACTTAGTTTCAGGAGCCGATAAAGAAAAAAGTCGACCTCTAGGAGGAGAAGTACCAGGTAACAGGTCAATAGGACAGTCACTAGCACGATGAGGCGGGAGTGAGGTGGCCCGAACCTTGTTAAAGGGCTCTTTAAGGTCCCAGTAATCCTTGGGAACACCGTAAATGTCTTGACACTCAGAGAGAATCGGCTGACTGGAATCAATTGAGGAACTAGATCTTAAGCAGACAGCATGACAATGAGCACTCCACTCTCTAATAGTCCCTGAAGCCCAATCTATATGAGGATTATGCCTCCTTAACCAAGGAAACCCCAAAATGACAGGCTGATGTGGTGCATGGATAAGGTGAAAAGAGAGTGTTTCGCTGTGATTGCCTGACATGCTCATTTGAACTGGAGTTGAACGGTGTGTCACTCTGCAGAGAAGACGACCATCTAGAGCTGTAGCATTGATGGGCTTCTCCAAAAATCTCCCGACCAAGTCCCATCTGAAAGGCCTTATGTCCAAAAGACTGGCATCAACACCAGAGTCAATAAGAACTGCCACATTGTGCATTTTCCCAGAGCAGCTCAGCTGAGCATGGATTAGGGGTCGAGAGGGCATTTCTAAATTCATAATTTGGCTCACAGCGCCCTCTGGATGACTGGTGAGCCCTGCCTTTTACAGGACAAGAGGAGGCAAAATGACCCTCCTGGCCGCAGTAAAGACAGCAGTTGTCCCGCAGTCGGCGCTGTCCTTCTGCCTTCGGAGAGCCGGGTCTGCCCCAGCTGCATTGGTTCAGAAGACTTAGAAAATCCTCCTCTCACCTGTTCAGTAGCATGCGCTGACGGGAGAGACGGAGCCTGAGGGGCGACGGAAAAAACCCTCTCTCTCCTCCGCTCCCGTAGACGGCAGTCAATGCGGATGGAGAGAGCCACCAGCTCATCTAAATCAGCAGGGAGGTCCCGAGCTGCCAGTTCGTCTTTAAGGCGATCCGACAGACCGTTGTAGAAGGCATCGAGAAGTGAAGAAGCATTCCAGTTACTCTCGGCGGCT